CTGTACCCACTTCGCACGGTTGCTTTAAGCACTGTTTACATGAGGCAGGGCATGTAAAAAGCACTCAAACAATATCTACGTTTCAGGAACCACTTGGAAAATGTTCAAGAGTCTTATTAGTACAGCTGGACTTTGGCTGCAAAAAAATGTATCAAGTAACGATGTTGGGTTTTACCCTTTGAAGTTTTAGTTCTTTGTAACCTTCTGATACATCTTCCCAACATGTTATGCTTTGCTGCCCCTCTGCAGATTTGAAGCACTTGCCTCTGTCCTTATCTCGGAAACAGAGCGACATTATCCTTCAGCTCATAAATCTTTCCAAGAACTTCTGACATGAGTGACGTCTAACAGAACATGAGTTAATATAAATATTCCCTGATTATAGCCTGTCATATTCAGTCTTAATTTTTAAAAATAAAATCTTTAATCTATCTGGAATGCATTTCAAAGTATACATTTTGGACTTACGTGTCATTAAAACATTAGCTGATGCCCCCCCCCCCCGAATTTCTCAAACAGCCAAGCTTCCTCACTGATTTGAAAATCTCTCACACAACAAAATCCTACCTGTGCGTTTACACTAACTGTCTATTCCTCACTATTTTCACAGTGGAACTTAAGTTCCACCAAGAAAGGACTTTGGTGGCCTTGGTTCACTGCGGGATCCCCAGAGTGATGGCTGGTTCACAGGAGTGCGTTGCTGGAAAAGCTTTCCTCTTCCGATCTCCCGGTGTGATTACTGTATTATTGGTTTTCTAACAATAACCATTGGTACTTTATTGACACAAATCAGAACTGACCATATTATGATTCCCTGCTAGTATTTGGCTTAAGATTTCACATATGCAGTTTTAAGTAAAATGTAGTTTTAAGTGTTAACTTTAAAAAAAAAAGAAAAAAACATATAGAATTTGGTCAGTCATACTAGCTTCATAAAAGAAATTGGGAGATTTTCCATATTTTTTCACGATTTGAAAAAGATTAGAAAACACAGGAACTATCTGTTTCTTTAAGATTTCACAACGTTTAACGATGAGTATGTCTAGAATGTGCACTTTTGGGGAGGAAGAAATCTTCCTTTTAATTCTCTTTTTGTCAATGTCACTCACAGTGTTAGTCACTTTGAGTTAATTCTGGTTATTTAAAAAATTATTTTTGGTTATTCATTTTATAGATTGCCCTTATTGTCGTAGAGTTAAACTGCTACTTTTATTGAAACATATATTTTTAAGAATTCCCTCTATAACTATAGCTTTATACCCCCCCCCCCTTTTTAGGTATGCCTCTGGGTCATATTATGGCTGATTTAAAAAAATCAATTTGAATCCTTGTCTTTTAATAGGGTAGTCCTTGTATGCCAATAAATATCCTCAGTTTTAACTTTACTATACAGTATTCTACTCTTTACGCATTAAAGTCTCCCCCCCTCCCCTGCCAACTCCTGGCCAATTGACTAGATAGTTAGTCACCCTATTTCTACACTAGCAAAGCTTAACTTTAAACTTCATTGTGGGGCCACCAAAAAGAAGCCCTCGGGAGCCTGTCTGCACTCTTCCTCCGTCTTCCTTCTGCCAAACTGTGGAAACACTTAATGATCACAGATCCCAATTATTATTACGCTGTAACACGGCTCTTTTTAAGGAACCATTTATCATGAGCATATGGCTTATTACTCTATTAACAACTGTCAATATATAGCAGTAATATTTATAGTTCAGTCCATACCACTTAAAAATACTCTATTACAATTTCTTCCCCTTACTGGGTTCTTTGGGTTCTTTATTCTTACTAGTTACTTGTTCAGTTCTACGATGTCTTTGCATGTTGTTTTTAGGGCAAGCACAAGAGTGGCATATTTTGAAAGTCGTTCAATGTCAAAGATGACCTTTTCGTTGCCAAGAAAAGATGCCTCACCCAGCTGTAAAATTTGAGTAACAACCCTTCCTCTCTGATGTCTATGGCGATGAGTCACTGCTTTTCCCAGATAGTGCTGCTAAGTGACTGGATACAAATTTACTCTCCTTTTGTGTACAACATCTTCTCCCTCACTGCAGCCCACCTCATCCCCACCTGTGAATGCTTGTGGTTTATTCATTTTTGAAAGGACAATTCGGTTGTAAACATACAATATATTTTAGGGTGATTGTCATCATTATTATTCTCCTTATTTAACAGCTTTATTGAGGTATAACTCACATAGCATAAGACTTTTTCATTACGTTTCACTGACCACCTGAGCCCTGGGCTGTGAAGATTCATGACTCCTGTTAGCTGAGGTGCTGGGGGACGTGGGGAGTTGAATATGCGGACTCAGGTTATCACCCTGAACCACAAGCCTCTCCGATACCTGCTGAAGTCCACTGCTGCTGCCATGCGGCAACCCTCCCAGCTGCTCCGCAGGCTCCACCTTGGAACATGCTTTCCGCTCCTCACACACTGCTGGCTCTCTCCTCAGGTTCCTCCAGTGCTGGGCCCTCCTCTCCTCTCCTTCTACGTGCTCCTCTTGGGCAGTCTCATCCACTCCCGGGCTCTACCTCTCATCTGTACCAGAGGTTCTCACCCCCAGCCCTGCAACTGCTGTTCACACAGCGACTCTCTCCCGTCAGCAACGTCTCTCAGTGGACACCGTAATTCACACCTACAAGGACATCCTGAAACCTCGGAAGGCGTATTTAGAGCCTGCAGAAGCTCTTCTCCTACCTGGGAACCTTTGGTCTGATACACACACCTGCTTCCCCTCTGGTGGGAGGCGCTGTCACCCCTGAGCTGTCCACTCCAGAAGCCTGCGAGTCATCACCACTAGATTTGAGGACAAAGACAGTCTCTCTGGCCTGCCACCATGTCTAACAGAGAGTCTAGCACACAGCAGCTCAACAAATACTTACTGAAGAAGGAACTCAGTCGATCCAATGTACTCTCTCTAACTTGCCCTCTTCCCTGCATCCGGACTGCCAGTACTCCGGTTAAACTCGCTATACTGTGACTAGGCCTGCTACCGAAGCCCCCCTGGCTACTGAATCCCCCCGGCCTCCAGTGCCGCTGCCCCCACCGCAGCCATGCTCCATGCTCCAGTCGGAGCTAACTCAGTCACAGGCAGTGCTTCTCATCCCTCAATTTAAGACCCAGTAGACCTGTTAAAATAAAACTCAAGTTTCCCAACATAACACACAGGTCTATAACTCTCTTAACTTCGTGCCCAGCATTCCTCCCACTTGGGAGAACAATGCAGGGTTCATTCTAAGAATTTCTTGATGCTCCAAAGCTGAACTACGCACCCACCTCACGTGCTCTCCACTGCGCCCCACACTTGTAGCTCCACATCCGTCCTGGCCCGGCCCGTCACCCGTGCACCCGTCTGTCTCCTCAGCTACAGGTGGGCCTGCCCCTCGCACCACGCCACAGCGCCCCGCACAGTCCCTGGCACACAGTGGACGCTCAGCGCGCGTCGCTGCATGAGTGCGTTTCCAGTGATCACCAGTGACCGTCGAAGCAGGTAACTTGGGAGTTCCATTTGGGGACAGGGATTCGGAGCCCCATGGGGACCCCCACATAGGACTGAGAGGGCACGAATGTCAAGAGACTGCACCTGGCATTTTACGTGTGTGCACATTTTCAGGGTGATTTTCAGAGGGCCTAAAGGTCCATAATCCTGAAAGTTTAAGGAATACTGTCGCTGGGAGTTGATGTGGTTAGAAAGGACTATTCTAAAGTGCTTTACAAACAAAAATAGCATGCAGACATGATGTACATGTGACACATGGACACGGACGGACCCACAGACACACACATGGGTGGCTTCATGCTGTCAACCCTCGTGGTAAACCTCTCCCCATGAACCCGGCATTTAATGAAGGAAGTGAATACTTTTTTCCTTGTTTGGTAATTCCTCATATCAGTATAAAACTTACTACATCCTACCTGGTTTGCTTTAGGAAGTGCTAACTTTTGTACCATAAGAAGCTGTTACTAACCCACAGAACTAGGACGACGACTTCAGAAGTGGTAAAAAGCCTGGCTCTGGGTGTGTCGATGCTGCCGGGCCTGCCTCGCTGCAGAGGCCACAGTGCAGCGGGGGTGATCGCACCCCACGGCGTCTCTGGCTGGGAGACACGGGTGAGAACTGGGCCCCGTCCTCCTTAGCATCATCTCTCCTCCAGAGGAAACGAAAGGCAAAGGATGGTGAGTTCGGGCAAAAGGCCTAAAGAATTATGGCTAAAGAATTATTTAGCCAGCAGCAAAATAATCCAGAATGGTCCATAATCGCCTACACAGCGATTCAGCTCAGGTCACTGAACATCAACACGCACTCTGTAGAAACGTAGTGAACAGAAGCCTCGCATACTAATGCATACTAACAATCCGACAACATCTTATTTTGCTGCACAACTCCAGGTGTGTAAGTGAACAAAACTGTGATTTAAAAAACAAAACAATAGTTCTTTTAGGAACCAAGTTCAGGGGAGGGGAATTCTTTTCAAGATTTTCTATTTACCTATCCTTTCTGAAGTTTTGGTGAGGTTCTAATCTGTCAATAAGATATATTATTTTAAATCATAGTGACAAGTGAGGATTGCTCAGTGTAAATTCCTGATAAATTTATGGTGAAATTTAGCAGTTGGTTATTCTGGCTGGAATTTGGAGTGAAAGGGGAGAAATAGAAGACAAAGGGAGAAAACTGCTGATTAACAGAGTCCCAAGGAAGAGTTTACGTATTCGATGTAACAGTTAATTTTTTAAAAATTCCAGGACTCACTTAAGAGTTGTACTGGGTCTCACCCTGTTACCTACTCTGATATCCTCTTTGGCAAGAAACTGTTGCTAATGACTTCTTGAACTCCGGTGTTAGTACTGTTATATTCACAGAGAAGCCATATGTGCCACTGAGAACTTGTCCTTCATTTTCCCCACAGCAGTGTGTGGGGCTTGAAACCCTTTCAAGAGCATCTGGGGCTGTTTCGAGGGAAGAGAGAAGATGAGAAGGGAAGAAAAAATTCTGAAACCTCGTTCATTGCCTGCTCTACTTGCTTCCTTATCCTTAATCTTGTCGACCTCACTGCGTCCTCCATCTTCTGTAGGTCTCCCTGCTGCAAGAGAGACCAGGTTAGGAAGTGAGTGGGCAGGACACTGGGGGTGACACTCACAATGAGATGAGAGGCAGAAGCGAAGAGAAGGCAGAGCTGGAAATGAGGCTTTGGAGGTCCTTGCAATGGGGCGTCCACAGTGTATTTCCCATCCATCCACACCGGTGTGAAATTTGCAAATCTGAGCAAACAATACTGACCAGAGGAAAAGGATCTACTGTCACTGAGATACTATTCGGTGCTCTCTAACTGGGATGTGCACACGACTAAGATGTTGTTAACGTGTTACTTCTGAGAAGAGTTATTTTCATGAAGTGTGGAACGGAATGGAGACGTGCAGCCTGACAACACAGATGGGCATCACCTGGAAAACCCAGCGGCCCGCTGAAACAGATGCCCACAAGGCAATGTTTACCTTGATGAGCCCTGCAGACTCTGACACCCGACCTCATTGACTGGACCTAGGGATGCAGACTCATGCTAACAAAACTCACAAGACAATGATGTATTAAGAAGGAAAAGAAGAAAGGACTTTATTATTCACCGTGAATAACAGAGGAAGCAGGCACACTGAATGTCTGCGTCAGCCTGAACGTGGTACCTCCTTGGGAAGGCACATTCCCAGGGGGCAGCTTGGTGCGCACGGAGGCGGAGCCAGTGGAGTCAATTATGCAGGATTCCAGGGCGACAGGCACCAGGCTCGCTGTCTGAAACCGGGCCACCCACCTGCCAGGCAGCTTGGGACGCTGAGCTCAACCTGGCAGATGCGTCGCTCAGACAGAGCCTTGTACGGCATCATGACAATTACGTTAATGGCTTCTCTTTTTCTCTGTTTTGGAGACAGAGAAAATGCTCTTCTGATGGATTGTCTCTGTATATGTGTTTTTAAGATGTCAATTATAACCCTCAACTGGGTTATAGACAAATCTCACTGTCCAAAGAGTCTCTGTGTCTCTTAAGATCACATTGCTCGCTTAGATTTCATTTGTTAGGTGTTGATTTCTCAGTTGATTAAATTTTCAGAGACTATTTTCATTTTCCTGTTTTCTGGGATCCAGAGGGGCACTGCATGGTAGACTCCACATTTGCCTACAGCTTCCACAAAGTGTCAGATTGAAACCAACCTGTATTCACTGATCCGACTTTATGCCCACTGCTGTGCCAGGCACAAAATAATTCTCAAAAAAATATAACGAGAGCCTCTAAGAAAATATCACATCTACTGGATGTCCAGGTTCTTCTTGAGGTACATTTATTCGCCCATTCCTCTCCAGTATTTATAGACCCTCTACGGTGTGCCTGGATTTACTAGGAACAAGAAATAGAAAGACACACATGACACTGCCTTGTTCTCTTTAAGAGCTTATAATCTAGCAAAGGAACAAAATGTGTTTTTTTTTTTTTAAAAAAAGCACTGCATCACGTGGTTCGGAGCATCGCAGAGGGAGTGCTTTCATATCTAAGGGCAGAGACAGAAGCCGTCTCTCTCTTAGCATCTGATTTTTAAAAGCACACTAAATGGAAAGATTATTTAAAAAAATTGAACAACAGTGGTATAAAGCACAAAAAATAAGCTCCTTCCTTGCTACTTCCCCATCCCTCTTCTCCCTCTCAAGGTTGCCCTCAGTGACTTGTGAATGCTCTTCCACACCTGTTCTCCCTACACACACACACACACACACACACACACAGAGTTCTGCACTCCCCTACACACGTGTACACATAAACATGAATTTATATATTTATCAACATGTAAAACATATTACCCACCCTGCTGACATATTACACACATACACAGGCACGCATATAACACACACGAGTGGGCGACAGTGTATGTACTATGTGTACACATGTGTGTACATGTGTGTATGTACTGTGTACATGTGTGTGTGCATAGATACACATAGATACACATAGTCTCATAACTTGTCCTTTCAGTTTCAACTCCTTATTGCAAATTGTAACGTGCATATACAAAAGTGCGCAAACTAAATATACTCAGTTTAGAAAATAAATTAGCCTGCACAGCTACCACTAGGTCAATACACAGGAGAGTCCGAGTACCCCACAAACTCTGCATGTACCACCCTCTCCAAACCCTTTATTCCGAATTTCCTGTTAACCATCCCCTGACTTTCCGCAGAATTTTACTGCCTCCGAGACGGACAGAGTTCAGATTTGCCTGACGCCTCAGGACAAGAGCAGCTTCCTCTCTCTGAGCCTCCCCTGCTCTCGCTTTTCCTTCCACTTTGGCCTTTAATCCCTCACCCTCCCAGGCCTTGGCTGTTGGGAGGCTGTCGTCCTCCACATACTCCACAGTGTCCGTTATCTGCAGGAAGAGGATTGTTCACAGGACCCAGCGGCCACGTGGCCAGTAACAGAAATCTGTGTTGCTTCTCGACTTCCCCCTTGTGGGGCAGTTACGTGTATAAATGCAGATTCTTACCCACTAGATCCTAACTCCTCGGGGTTGTGAGAGTCAGGCATCTCACTTTCCTGCAGCACGAATATGAAATATGTGAAATATGCAGTAAATGCGGAAGGCGTAAAGAATACATGGGCGAAAAAGAGCCTGAACATGTAAGTACTGCCCTTGAAGAGTTTCCATTTTCTTTTTGTGAAGGAAGATTAAGATGCATACGCATAAAATAATTTGACATGAAACAATCTGAGGCAGAGAGAGAGATGTTTACATGAAATTCCTTATATTCACTGAAAAACTTCCCAAGATATATTGTCGAGTTAACAAAAAGTTGGAGGATGGTGTCTGCGTACAGTGCCGTGGTCGGGATGCCACGGTGCCAGCGCCACGGCTGGAACCCAGCAGGTCCGTTCCTTCTCTGCTGCGATCACGGTCTGGGGGTCCACTGATAAGGACCAGGGCTGATGTCCTGACCATGGGAATGGAAAAGCTAAAACCCAGATATTTTTCTAAATAAATAATCAGTAAAGATCTATTTGTTAAATGTAGGGATGGAATGAGGGAAGGAGGGCGATTTCTAGGTTTCCAGCCGGGCAGACCTGTGGAATGGTCCGAGATGTGCGACCCCCCTTCTGGAGTCGTGACCCCTGACCTCGCGAGTTCCACCTCCTCCATCTCTCTGTCGCTCCTGGTCCAGTACCCTCCCCACCTGGGTTCGGGGCAATCTCCTTTGTGCGAGTACAAACATGGCTTGAAATACTTAAAAATAAAAGTGCATTTACACTCATTTTATTTGGAAAAACTACTGTCGGGATTGCAGTAGGCAAAACTCAGCAATACCTTGCTAAAAATAAAAACTCCACATCTGACTTTATCGAAGAAAACTTCTACATAGATAAAATATCTGACAGAATTAAACATCCTTAGGGTTTAAAATTATTGTATTTGTATTATACAAAGACCCAAATCATGAAATTATGAAAACCAAGAGAAGCAACAAAAATTAATCATGTGAGTAATTCTAATTTACTGTGTTTTAAAATTCTTTCCTCCTCGGTGGATTCTGGCTTCTGAGTTACACGTTACAACCCTGGACTGCATCTCAAAGCTGTTTATTACAACGTTACAGCATTCCAAAAGGCTCCGCTGGACACTCTGTGTCTAGCTAGAGGCAAAAAGCTAAGGTTTGAGGGCTGTTACAGGACAGAAAGTAAAAATGTAAAAAGCTTAAAAGTGATCTGTCATGCTTCGGATTTCTTTTCTGCCAGGCCACATTTCCGCAGAAGATGACAGAGAATGGCAATTGTGTAACCAAACCTCCAGAACTAGTTACAGCTCTGGAATGTGACGACTGTTTCGCAATGCAGTGGGTCACCATCATATGAAAATCTTGGGAAATACCGAATCTTGGTTACCTGCTCGTTCCTGTGAGCGTGTAACTCGGTCACACACACTGCAGCAGTACTTTAAACTACCGATCTACATTTCTTGGTACTCATGACTGTATTTGAAAAGAATGTTAAGAACACTTATACATACTTTAAAAGGTAAAAACAGAAAGGGAGGAGCGTGGGGAGGGAAGGAGGAGGAGGAAAAAGGAGGTGCACCTTCAAGTAACATGGGAAGGGGCAGGCAGCTGAGGACGCGGTGAGCAAAACTGGCGGAGACCTGCTGTGTGTTGAAGGTAGGCACAAGGACACAGAAGTTCATCTTCCACTGGCCCTACTTTGTATGTTGAAATGTCCATAATAAAAAAATTTTAAAAGGCACAAACCTAATTTTTCAGGATTGCCTCCTAACTCAGTACCTAAAAAGGGGCACCTCAGTACTATTAACAGGGGTGCAATAAACAGCATCTTCAGAACACTGAGTCATGATTTCCAGAGTTCCTGAGGTGCACGTGCCCAACAGTAATAACAAACATCTGACCGGCCATAATCCATACACAGAGACCTTCCACAGCCATTATCTCCACTGATCTTCGCAGCAACACTGCGGGACACCGTGGTCAGCACTCTACTTCATGAAAAAGGAGCACAAGGCCCAGAGAAATGAAGTGACTTTCATTTCATTTTCATTCCACAAACAAACTGAATATATAGCATGTGTCATTCAGTTCTGACCTTGGTATTAGGAATTAAGAGACAAAATCAATTCCTTCTTTCAAGGGGTGTGTAGTCCAGTAGAAGTTTATGAACTGATAATTAACTATATGGTATGATCTCATGTTACAATGAAGTGTTTTTCAAAAACCTTTAACCATGACCTACAGTAAGAAATATATTTTACATTTCCACCCAGTATACATAAAAATGTTTAAGTGAAACAAATGTTTCATGAAACAATTCTCTTCCTGTGCATGATGCACACTGTGGTATTTCCTTTCTTTCTTTTTAAATAAATATGGATTTTTAGATAGAGGAAGGGAGAGAGGGGGAGACAGACAGACAGACACACACACACCCTGATTTGCTGTTTTACTTATTTACGCATTCATTGGTTGGTTCTTGCAGGTGCCCTGACCACGGAATCAAACCCTCAACCTTGGCCTCTCAGGATGACGCTCTAACCACCTGAGCCTCCTGGCCACGGTACTTCCCATAGGCTCATCCTGCTACTACCTGTAAAAAACCACGGTACACTGTGGTTTTTTCTAACGTACCCTATTCAGTAACCTTTTCATTTTTAGTAAAATGTTGGTGACAACCTCTTACAACGATTTCATTATTGACTAGTGGGTTGCAAACTACATTGTGCAAAAGTACTATGATGACTATGGCCAGAGTTCTATCATGCAGAGTTCCCAAAAGAAAACACAAACTCTGTTCCAGGGCACAAGACAGGCTTTAACGAGGCTGGCCTCTGAGGACATGTCAGTATTGAAGTGGCAGAACTAGGGCAGAGGTCTTACAACGCTCTAATCACTTTGCCCTTGCATTAGCCGATCTGTTGCACACTGGCCAAATACAAAACAGCAATAGACTGTGAACTCACTGATAAGCTATGAAAACAAGTTGTTTTCTCCAAGGGATGTCAGCAATCATTCATTCACATGTACTAATCCCCATTATGCGGCACAGCACTTCCTATGGGCTCATCCTGCTACTACCTGTAAAACAACTATAAACATCCTGAGACTGTAAAGTTTATTATTCCATGACTCACAGTCCCAAATATTTGTCCTCTAGAGTAAAGACTTAGAAAGCAAGAGAACAGGATAAGGTGCTAGATGTGAAATGAGATGCTGTCATTTTTATTCACCATCCATCCACACTGACTTTGTTCAACCCTCCATCTCGACAATCTGCTGTCCACCCAGGGCAGCTGCACCCACTCGGTGCAGACTCACTGAGGGGAAGAACTAGCACAGGCAGGGGAGTGACTCCAGAGTTCTGAGGGCTCCTGCTGCTGCCCCCTGCTGTCCGGGGAAGACGGGACCGGTCAGAGAGAGCCATGGGCTAGATTTGGCTTTGCCACTTCCTTCATCGGGACGGCTTCCATTTTCAGGTACTTGTTTTGAGAATCCACTTTGCTCCATGTCACCAAAGACTCATTTTGTGAAGTTGTCCTAGTCTGGTAAGTTATGTGTGCCTTTTATCCATTAAGCCATAAAAAATAATATGTGTTTTTCCACATCACCACGTGATCAGCTTACCACAGTACTGCTATTCATTGGGTATTCAATAAATATTCATCTAGGGTATTGATATGGACACTGAATGGAAAATATACAAAAGAAAGACAGTTAACTGGACTTTACCAGATTTGGAGGAACTATACCTGTTTCCCATCCCTACTTTCCCAAAGGGAAATATGCTCTGAATATCAATGATGAAAGATTTTGTTGGCTGAAGGTTGAAAAAAATAGTAATCTTATTTAAAATCAAACCAAGCTGAACCAACCCAAAACACCAACTAGTGTCTGTGCCTTTAATCACATAATTGTAGGGTCTTAGTTACACTGAAAATCTTCTGGGCTAAGTTTTGTAAGTATCAATTTAGTAACAAAGGATTGGCCAGAAGGAAGCGAGAATTACACTTTGGAGAAAGTTACTAAAAAGCATAAGCCATTTATGAAGACATTCTGCTCTTTGGATGAATCTCTTTGTTTGGCAGACACGTTTAGGCTTGATACCTTTGAATAATAGTCTAAACGAGTCTGAATAAGTCAATAAACCACAATCCACCAGGTCTTCAAAAAGGTCTTCCTGTTTTAGAATACACAAAAGATCTATTTTAGGAACACTCACCCTTTAATTTAGACCACCGCAAATAACATTTCCAAAAATTTGTAAATATTTAGTTGAAAAGCAAGTGATAAAACACTGAAACAATCAAGATATGAGCTAAAAATAATATAAAACAGACTCCTTTTTAATTCATAATTATACAGAAAGAAGAGATGGGAAAAAAATACTGCACTCTATTTTGAGGACAAAGCTGAATTCCACCAGAACGTAAGTCTGGTATCATTTTCCTTCTATGACCCTAAATACTCACTTGAGACTTTGCATGAGGCATCTTCAAACCACTGTGGTCCTTTAAGCATCTTGAAATCAGTTATGGCCAAAGCCAAACTCAACTTCGCGTCTGCCCTTTCCTCCCCCCAACCTCCCGAACACTCATCCTTCTTAATTCCAGTGACCTCCAAACTGGGTATGCACAAGAAAATCCACTGGGAAGGAGGTTAAAATATTAACACTTTTGTACTGGGTACATGCTCAATTTTAGCTATTAACGGTGTGTGATTTTTTTAAAAAGTTAAGACTATGAACCCACCCTGGGCTTCCTCACTGTTTTCAGACCATCAGTCTACACTAAGAGCTCAAAGCCTTTCAGTCTCTTTCTCCACTTTTCCTCTGCAAGCCCCCCAGCGGTGCAGTAGCTCGGGTTCCCTATGCCTTGCCTGGCTTTCAGCCTAGTCTTCTACCTCGTCTCACTTCTTGCAGCATCTTTTTCCAACTCATCCTTTACTCTGCCACCAGAAGTATCCTCACTAGTCAGGTATCACTTACCAAAAAGCAGCACTACCTACAAAATTACCCAGACACTTTACTATACTTCTTCTGGGCCTCTTTTAGCTCAACCTAGGAAAATACGGAAGGCCGCAGGGAGGTGTGAACTTCAGGCCTAGGCTTGACTTTTACAAGCTTTGTGATTTGGGGGAGAATTACTTAGGCTTTCTGAGCTTTTATTTCCACCTTTGAGTGACGAAATTAATCGCTCACAAAACTGTTACAGGAATCAAATGAGATTATATAGGAGAAGGAACTTGGCACAGAGCCAGGCACACAGGAGTTGATCAGTAAGTTTCTGACCCCTTCTTGCTCTGCTACAAGTGTCCTCTGCCTCGCTTGCCTTGCACCGGCCCCACCACAATCCTGGCCCATTACACACCACCCCTCTGGAACGTTGCTCTCCTCAAACACGACATGTACTCTCACCCCTCTGTGGCTCTGATCATACTACACCCTCGGCCTCACCTGCACTTACTACCTCCTCCAAGTGAAACTGTAACCAGGCCTCAGGGCCCAGCTCAAATGTCGACTCCTACAGGAAGTCCTCCCTCTATCCACTGATCGGAACGAACCACTTTTTCTCTGTGTTCTCCCTGCACGCAGCTTGCACCTTCACTTCAGTGTTAATTTCTCGTGTTATAGTATTACTATATTTATATTAAATATATAATTAGGCTTACATATATGTTACCTGCATGAATTATAAGTTTCTTGACAGAAGAAAGCATGCTTTTCTTCTTTTGTTATTCTCAGCAATTAACAACTTGTACTGGAAGGGATTTAATAAATGTCTGCTGATTGAATAAATAAATGTATCAAAACATTTTCAAAAGAAGTAAATTTTTACCAGAAAAAAAACACCACTTGTTTCAACATTTGAAGTAACTTTTAGAAAAAAAACTCCTACCTGAAAAATATACCATTATTTAACATTTATAATACATAAATTAAAATAACAAAGAAATGAATGAAAATGATGCATTTTGATACTTCAGACTGAGTACATACAACAAAATATTATTTTTAACCTATTAAACTGATTTTAAAAATTTTATATCAATTCTTATCCACTAATAGAATACCAGTGAGTAAATATTAATAGAGAATAGACATCATTCAAAACTGAGAACTAATGCTTTAGTTTAGAAAAAAATATTAAGACATATTTTTCCTTAATTATCAAACAGGCAGAGTGAGCACACGTCTGACTTGCGATTTGGTAGGGAGCAAAGCGCCAGCTCCGGAGGTTCGGGAAGGACTCGGCTGGCTTTCAGCTCAACCACATGTCAGTTGTGTGAATTGTCTCCTCTGAGCCACAGCTACTCTCTCTCCGCAAATCAGAGAAAATCCCTCCCCTTTCTCATGGTCCACTTGCAGAACCAATAGGACTGCCATTCATGAAATGGCTATCACCATGTCTGGGACACCGCAGGTCTTCTGTCTCCTGTCTCCTGGATCTGGGGACTGTCCACCCGATGGGAACACAGACAGGGATGAGTGCGGAGGTCATTTTGACTTGAAGGGAACCTGGAAAGTCCAGGTAAGCTTGCTGGGCAGTAAAGGCTGATTCTACAACTGACGCAGAGTGACCGCAGGTGTTTCAGACTGTCCAGCCATGGCTGTGGATGCGCCGCTCACCGGGGGACCCTCTGCAAAGAAGCGCAGGGCCACCAAAGGAAAATGGTGCAGGGAAAGGTGAGAGAGAGGGAAGAGAGAACAAACTTTGAAGGGCAGTGCCATGGAAGGGGCAGCAGAAAGAGGAAGCTAAGGGAGAAAGCAGAAATAACCAGATTGCCAAATGGGGAAGAGTGAGGGGGACAGGGAAAGCTGTCTCTTCCTCTCCACTGTCTTCTTCCCCCAATTTTCCCCCCCATTTGTGCTTATTCCCTGATTTTCTCTCTTGTCTACCCCTTCCCAAACCATTTTTATTCATAAACGTCCCACCCGCTCTCCGACAACCCTTCCTTGGGAGCTGGGAAGTGAAAACCTAGGAAAGCACTGATCTGGAATGGCCTGCAAGGCTCAGACGGGCCCGCCAACCTGCCCGCCCCCGGCCCCCGGGGCATCGGTGTGAGAGCTGGAACTGGTCCTGGCTACAGACACGAGGGGGCACAGCGCAGAGGGAGCAGCTGTTCACCTCTCTACTTTCTGCTCCTGGCCATCCCCTGTCCTCATCTGCACTGTCTTCAGTTACAAAGGATTCACTGTCTTCAGTTACAAACGAGCCACGCGAAGGTCCCATGATGGGAATTTACCATCTGATAACTGTATGGTCACCTTCCCTTTCTGGCGAGTTTATGAAATGTTATTTTAAAATGTCAGATTGGACATGTTTAAAAGAAAGTCCACACAAAGACAGGGCCACGAGAATACTTAGTCAAAAGCCGTGATGTCCTCAGGGGGGAAACGCGCTTGTTTCCACAGCACATCCCAGGGTGCCAGTTAAATCGGCCATGGAAAGCTCGAGACTAAATGCTTGCTTTTGGTTTCCTTGAAGGAAGTCCTATGCATTCTTTTTTACAAATAAATACAATGGCCGTACTGGATCAAAAGTGTAAATAATTACTCAGTGTTACACCTGTGGGTGCTAAGTGAGGACAACTTCAGAGACCCGATGATCCGCTTCGAGTCAACGGAAACAAGTCTGTTAATTAATTCATCTTGTGGACATCGCCACTGGAAGAATAAGACAAGGCTAACAGTGGACCAGGAAATGCACTCATCCTGAGTGCGTTCCTTGACACCCACCAGGCAGGACAGGATGTGTCCACAACTGCCCGAAGCTGTGCTGCCTGAAGTGAAAACTGATATGCCCTTGAAGACCACTCTGTTCGGCGAACAAGTATCACGTGTTCCCATGTCCAGAGAAAGCACTTTCTTGTAAAACTGTATCGAGAAATAAATAGGAAGCACCTTGGTCAATAAATGTGCCCCAAGGCACGATACGAACCAAATGAAGTAGAGAGGACCCCCTGAGAGTGTCCCTGGCTCCCTGTACCTTTCGCCCCTGCCTCTAAGGGGAATGGGCCGAGCTGATCACAGCACATCTCCCACCCGGAGCTCCCACACACCTGGACCAATCCCGGAGGGAAACAAGACCTGCAGGGCTCAGAGACACGGGGCAGCAGGGCTGACTGTCGGAAAGGGACGGCTGGGCACGAGGAGGATGGAGGGCGAAGGACGGGAAGAGGTGGCGGAGGGTAAAGGAGTCCCAGGGTGAAAGGGGGCGGCCCGGGGTGACAGGGTTCCAGGCCCTGTGCCCTCATGGGGTTCTCCGCAGGGCGGAGCAAGCCGACGGTCGCCTGTGGGGTAACATGTGACAACAGGAAGCCCTCAGACTCGGCACAGTTTGGGGATGAGTATGGCAGCCTGAGAAAGACGTGCTGCAGACGGGGTAAACCACCCTCGGCAACAGCCCACTGCAGAAGACGCTTTGTTCAGCAACACAGAGTTTAGCAAAGGTACATCAAAATAATCCCTCGTTAAAAAAAAAAAAAAGAAATCAAATGCCCCACAACTGAGATCACAGTTACCAGGGTGCTGACTTTCCACCTTCTCCTCCTTCTAAGAGTTCTTTCTTTAGCCTCAACGAAGCCAGTCAACAGGAGGCAGTTTACGTCATGGTCAAGGGCATGGATTCTGCAGCCAGGTTTCCTGGGTTTGAATCATGATTATAAAGTTAGGCCAATTGCTCATCCTCGGTGAGCCTCAATGTGCTCCTTTGTGAAATGGGGAAGATCCCACCAGCCAGCTCACAGCACCTTGACCGAACTGATACAGTGAGCACTCAGGAGCTGCTGCTGGTTTAAAAACAGTGTTACCACTGCAAGATCATGACACCCTTGTGCCTAGACTTTTTAAAAAAGCATATGATTAGTGTCTTTAATAATCTGCATATCTGCCCAAGTTAAGAACGTACTTCTTGAAGGCTTATTAGCATTTCTGTCTCAAATATCTTAGTTTCAGGCATATAATAAGAGCTCAATAAATGTTTGAAAGGAAAAGAACAAAGCTTGCAAACCAAATAAGGTGAGCACTTGTAGTATTTATCCTATAAATAAATTCAGATTTCACGAGCTTTTATTGAATGCCTACTTTATGCTAGACCCTGCATGAAGACCTTGTTATCTTAATACATTTCCGTGGACTAAACACAGCTGCATAACTACAGCAACCCAGCAGCTACTGGGCCAGGCTGAAGCCCTTTTAGACCAGCCCCCGGGCATACAGCCTGAACAGGCTTGGTTAACAATCTTGCAGAGCAGATTTTTAAGCCAAATGGTTCATTCATACGCCTCCACCACTAGCAGTGAGGGTCCTCATGACCACAGCAGAGGGGATGCTGCGGCTGGACTGGCCTTCTCTCCTCTTGATCCAGGGCAGGGCGACAGTACCTTTTTGGATATAAAAAGCACCTTGGGGATGTTTTTAGCACCTACAGGGCCCGAGTCAGAAAGCCCAACTTTAAAGGATCTTTTTTAGCCACAGAATAAGGAACTATGTATTACATTCAAGATTTGGCCACAAGTCAACTTCCAAATGTTAGTTCTTCATGAAATCATCATATATCTCACGGAAAATTCAAATCTGTCTTAGCTCATTTACTTTTTACTTTATTGGGAAGAAAATTCTAAGCCAGAGTAAATGAATAAGTAGATTTCAGTCTTCTGAAAGAACTTTGGGTGTGGCTGAGATAGCTAACTTTGAAAACTTAGCAACAGAGGATATATTATGAGTAAGTTCTTTATTTTTTTTAAAGTAATGATGCTAACTCACCAGATCCTTCTGAAAGAGTCCTTTTATTAATTTCAATGAAGTCAAGTAGAGAACAAGTTGTAATATGAAACACAATTTATGCAACTATGTTGAAATTCTCTGCCAGAGTTACATCTTCTAATGTAAGAATTTTATGGTAAAACAATTTCAAAATAATATCAAGCATTGGGTTAGGCTCCTTTTGGCTCTAGGCTAGCTATCACAGAGAACTCCTTTTTTACAAATCACTTAAGCTTAAGGCAAAATGATAGCGCCTTTAAATAAATTTTTAAAAAACCCATGTTCCCAACAGTTTATAATAAAAGAGCTGAAACTAAGCCTCAGTTGAAATTATATTATTAGGCAACTCCAAAAACTAAACACAAAAACATGTTAAAATAAAGATTGCAACATCAAGGGAAAGCCGTCCTCAAGTATACAGTTTGAGACTCTCAGCCATTTCTGACCCCGGCCCAGATGAGATCACAGACCCTTCAGAGAGGTTTTTCCTGCAGTCAGCCAGCACACTGCTCACTCCCCCGGCAGCCCCATGGGTCAGTCGCTCAGGGAAAAGCATGCAGTGCACTGAAGGGGCCAATAAGAAATCCTGTGGGTGGGTCTGGTCTCCTTTCAAAACCAATGAACTTCTCATTATATCATCTTTACTAACAAGAGAGAAGTTTGTAAGTCATATAGCCAACTTAACTATAAGGCAGGCTATGTTGCATGTCTCACATTAAAAAAAGAAGAAGAAAGAAAAAGAAAAAGCTTTCTGAATGGCACAGTCCCTCTTGTCAGGTTATGTCAGAAAATTAATGAATTCTACTTGGTAGTATTACTAAGCTCATTTGACAATGATTTTCAGGCCATATAATGTTTTCAATCAGAAAAGCCCAACCCTCTAAAATAAAATCTCCATGACATTTCATTAATTTTTTATAAAATAAAGTAAGTCTTTGAACCACAGGAGAATTCTGAGAATCTAGCTTTTCCAAAAAGCCCAAGAAAAATACTTGTTTCACCATTCTCCAATTCATTTGACTTTGAAACAAAATAAACATATTACTCTATTTAACATCATTGCACAAGCGAATTCACAAGAATGAAATGTGTTCAGAGTTCCTAGAAAAAATGTAGCAATACAGGCTGCCAACTTGTTCAATGTCAAGCTCAAGGCAGGGTAGCAACACCAGCAGTAAATGACTCAGAGTGAGTCACACTTAAGCTATTTTTGCTTTTAAAGTACTGCCAGGCACTGTGTTAATATTCAACCCAGAGTAAATTTAGCCCAACACGAAAACAAGTGTTTCCATGGTTGCTTCTTCCTGGTGTTTATGGTATATACGTAGCCATTAGGCACAGGAAGCCAGCCAGATAAAAATTAAGTAGAAATGCTCATCCTTCATTTATATCCAGGCTTTGGAACACTGGAAACATGATACACAATTTTTGGCTATTCTTCCACCTCCTTCCATCTATCTGCCCCTCTAGATCCAAAAAGC